TGTCATATCTTTCTTAGTTTATTTGATCGAGCCTCACCCTCAAGTCTTGTGTTTATCCCTTGGGGTAGATACAGGATTTGAGGTTGAGTGCTCTTTCATTTAAACTATGGAAAATATGAGGTCAGTTTGATTTCATATTTTTCTAAAATTATATATATATACGTAAATTAAAAAGTCCTTCCGAAGCGGGCGACGGAATTTCGATTCCGGCGACCGACAGCTTCTTACGGGCGACCCCCAAACATTTAAAAACATTAACTTTTTCCCCTTTTAAGCGCCGACAAGTTAACCAATTGTTCCCCATCAGATTGATAAATTTTTAACTAAATAAATGTTACTAGCATTCAGCATAGACAGTTCATTATTGTGCTTAGTCTTTTTACGTGACTGTCTTTGCACCTGCCACTCATTGTCTAATGTTATAACAACATTAGATAAAAAAGCATTAATATCAGCAATATCAGAATTAGCCCCAACAATAGGAGGGTGAACCATATTGCTATGGGGAAATAAATTTCCATTATCTGTAATGTTGTGATCCGCAAGTGATGATGTTTCCGCAGACTCTTCAGAAGCCACAAAAGCATTGTGTTCATTACAATTTTCAGCCAAATCCATACATTCCTTAATTTGCAAGTGTTGAAGATTAACATCTGTGTCATTATGTAAGTCTTCAGCACATAAAACATGCAAATTAAAAGTAGCTGTAATAATAATAAAATTATCAACTAATTCAACCGCATTTTCAACCGTAGTAGGGATATCAATATCATTATTGGTAGCAGGTAAAATAGTATGTGCTGCATTATGAGAGTCTCTAAGTTGAGGGTTCAAGCAAAAGCAAGATGTGGTTTGGTGTCCGAACATAGAACAATGAGTACAGTAAGGAGAGTGTCGATCAATTTCAACAGTCTGCCAATAACCTTGGTGTTGCGATCCTATCAAAATTTCATTGCAAAATTGCTATGCTATATCTCGCTCAACAAGAATCTATGCTTTAGATTAGGGCTGTCAATATAGCTCGTTGTTCATGAACAGCTCGTGTTCGGCTCGTTAAGAAGCTCGTGTTTGGCTCATTCGTTATGCCTAATGAACCGAACACGAACAGATTTTTATTTGTATTCTTTTTTAGTTGTACATTTTAAAATTTGTAATAAATTGGTTCTTATTTTGTAAGTTTTTGTCAAATTATATTAATATTCTTGTGTAAAATTTTGTAATATTTTTTAGTTAATCAATTTTTTTAGTTAATAAATCTCTTGAACTTTTGTATGAAATTTGTTCTTGAAAAAATTTTAGACAAAATTATTATTTTTTTTAAAAAATAATATTTATTAAAATAATTTTATATTCTAACGAGCCAATTTCGAGTCGAACACGAGCCAAACACGAATATGAAAATATTATTCGAGTCAAACACGAACACACTGTTCACGAGCCATTTCGAACACGAGGCAATTTTGAACGCGAGCTAGATTCGAATGAGCCGAGCTTGAGCGAGAGCTAGATTCGAATGAGCCGAGCCTGAGCTCGCTCAAGCTCGGCTCGTTTACAGCCCTACTTTAGATGGTCTAGACAAAGTATAAGTAGCTTGATCTATTTTCAAAAGCTTGCCATAAGCAGCAGCAAACGAAAATAGAATTTCATGATTAAAAAGATGGAGTTTAAGCCCTGAAAAACGTATCCAAATCGGTATTATAGGCAATTTAGTTTTAGGATCAAAATTAATTGGCCATTTTCGAAATTTCATCACACTGTTTTCTATATGCATAAATCGTTTTGCAAAGTGTCTTGTATTGTCCTCATCGTTTGTCAGTTGTATAAAGATATGTCTACCATCAATGATGCCAACCTTCCACCAGCCTTTAAGTTTTAACATTTTAAACTCTTTCCTGATTAACTCTATTTTAGTTATACCATACGTAAATTTACCCATAAGGGCAAGACGACATGAAGAGGCAACGATAGAAGTTTCATCCTTCGTACCAAACAGAGCAAGCTTATATATAGAACTCTTAAACTTCAATTTTTACCTAAATACCAACTTACCTATGCATGAAAAGGTGTATTTAACTTTTTGAAAGTTAAAATGGTTGTATTTTTTATATGATATGAAAGATTTTGTTGGTATAAATGTAAAAAAGCAAAGTGTAGGTGTTAGATATGTAAATACATAGGATTGGATTGTATGTATTTAAACTCTCCTTTTAGTTATCTCCATTTAGTGTTTATTGGCTCGGATTGGGGGAGAAAATAACTATAGCAAGCACACATTTCTGATTCCAAAGCATTTTGCCTTTTTCTCCATTGAAGTTTTCTTAGTATTTGTCATGATTATGTTTGACAATGATTTTTTTTTTCAATGGTGAATGTAAGCTTATATAATCTTTTTTTTCTTATGGTTTGTTTGGGATCATTATTTTTTTTTGTTTTTCTTTTATATTTTTGTTTTTGCTTTTATTTTAAAAGCATGCCTATTTGTTGTGTATGTTTTTAATTTTTATTTTCAAAAATAAATTAGTTTATTTTTAAAAACATTCAAAACATCTGAAAGTTTTTTCGAGTGTTTTCAAAAATAACCAAACACGTTATAACATACCAAACATATTTTATTTCAAGTAAGAACATAAACTAAACAAACAAAAAATAGGAAATAGAAACAAAAATTAGAAGTGATCCAAAAAACCCCTTAGCTTTCTAGGGGCTTTCTATTTTTATCAACTCTTATCACAAATGTTGTGGTTAGTACAGTTTTTCTGCCTCCAAGAGCATGAATGGATTTGTGAAATTTTCTTCATTGACTTTCTTTTCCTCTGTTTTGATGTGTAATTTTTCTCCTTCGCTCTTGATTCTAACAGAACAATTGATATTCGCCTTTCAACATTTGGTTCAGACCTCAGAATCATCTGTAATATATTTAGGGTCATTTAGATACATACCACCCAAATCCTATGCATTTACACGTCTAACACTAAATCTTTATGTTTTTATGTTCATGCCACTCAGTGGTGGAGCCAAAAAAATTTCAAAATGGGGGCACAAAATAAATGAGTGGCATATGTGCGGGAGGTAGTTCATCTAATCTTCCTATAATATTTTAATTAATTATTAATTATTAAATATTAATCAATTAAAGTAATAAAAATTAACTTGAATAAAATTAACTGGCATTTGCATACATACCACCCACTTATATATTCACATATCAACACCTAAACTTTGATTTTTTATTTTCACATTTGTACCACCCAAATCTTTCATATCATCAAATAAAAAATACCACTATTTTAACTATAAAAAAAAAAGGTGAAATACATATATTCATGCATAGGTAAGGCAACCTATATGTAAAATTGAATTTTAGGCAATAGATATGTAAATACCTAACAACTGAGTGGTATGCATGCAATTCTTCATAAAATTAAATGAAAGCCACAAAACTATGTTTCCAGCCCTCGCCTTACCCCTCTCCCATTTTCGGCCAAAATCATCTCCTTCGTGATGATTAGAACAAGCTAGAAAGGAAGCTAGGGGATTGAACTCCGAAACTCCCATAAATCTGTCTTCCAACAGGATTTACTAAATCCTGGTTTCAAGGCAAAACAGAGTAAAAGCAGGATTTAAGAACGTGTAGAATTTAAGAAGATATTTTTGCTGTTTGGCAGGATTTACGTCAAGTTCGGCTTAAATCCTGCTACCAAACAGCCCCCGTTACCACTAAATCCTTCTATCAAACACCCCCCCGTTACCCTCTGGCTCCAACTTGCTGCTTTTGTTGCTGCAGCTTGGCCAAAGTTTAGTCCCCCTTTGAATCTGCTGGTGATGCCAACTAAATCTTTCATATCACATAAAAAATACCATTATTTTAACTTTTAAAGTGAAATATACGTTTTCATGCATAGGTAAGGAGTTATGCATGCAAAAATTAAAGTTTAAATGTTTGGTATGTAAATACATAGGAATTTAGTGCTGTATGTACATCTTCCTTGTATTTAATGTGTTTTTGAGAGATGTCGTCTATTGGACTTAATGACATTAGCAGATATCATTTTATAAATAATGATTGTATATTTCTTACTGCATCTAGTTGTGGATAAAATCGAGCCACGCCATATTTCTCGTATGAGTTTATTATATTATTATTTTCCCAAGCAGCTGAAATGGCCTTTTTTTTCTCTCATTTTTTCTTCACCATTGAATGGTTTCTTCCTATAGAAGTCGCATTTCATCACTGTTTGGTGGAACTTTTGAGTGTAGGAAAGTATTTATGATGTGGATGAGGATAAGATGCCGAGGCATGAAATAAAAGAAGGAAGATTTACATACATGAAATTCTTGTATTTCTTTATATGATGTGGATGAGGATAAGATGCCGAGGCATGAAGTAAAAGAAGGAAGATTTACATACATACCACTCAAATTCTATCTCTTTACATATCTAACACCTAAACTCCAATTTTTGCATATATGCCACTTTAGCTATCATGAAAAGATTTATTTCACTTTTTGTAAGTTAAAGAAAGTAATCTTTTTATGTGATATGAAAGATTAGGTGGTAGAGATATAAAATGTAAATTTTATATGTTAGATATGAAAATACATAGGAATTGTGTGCTATGTATGTAAATGCCTCATAAAAGAAATATTACAAAGAATTTGAGTGGGGTAATCTTACAATAGGGCCAATGCTATTGCTAGGTAACATTAAGCCAAACATACATTATTTGTTAGTGTTATTTAACATCTATAGCACAGACATGTTAATACATGATAGTGAACCAATAAATAGGTTTTTTTTTAATAGGCCAATTCCTTTGTAATGCTTGTGTAATTTCATTTGTTCAAATTATGTTAGCCATTTACTTGCTACTTGAATAAGATTATATTTGCTTGGGATGTTCCTTAGTGACTATTATATTTGCTGTATGAGGGGTGAGCATGGTTTTAAAAATCATGCCGAATTAGCTAGTTTGATTGGTTAAACTATGAATTTGTCCTCAAGCCATTCTGATTTAGGTTCAAAACCGTTTTCACAGAGATGAATCGATAAACCAGTTTGATTTTTAAAGAGTCGGTCATAATAGTGATCAATGTTTAAATTTTTTATTTTAATCATCTGGCTAGAATTAAATATTTGGATTAAAAATAGATAAAATATTAAAATATCATGCACCAAAATTTTTATTTAGAAGTATTTTTTAAAATTTCAATAGTGGATTATTTCGAATTATAACATCGCTATTATATCATTATTATATCTTTTAAATCATAGTAAAATAATTTTAATATTTATTACATTTTTTGTCAACCCTCAATTCTGCCTCTGTTACAAACTTTGATTGATCAGTCATATATTGTACTCATATCAAAGACATTTTAATGATTTCAGAGAGCATTCTTATCAAATGTAAATTATAATATCCTAAACCAAAATCTCTACTTCATCATTTTTATCTTGTAGGAGGACACGGGCCATCTTTGAGGTTGCAGTTACTGTACACAAGAACATACAACAAAGAGACTTAGAAGCTGGAAGAAACCTCGGCAGTTGGCTACTTCGTCTTTTCGACCGAATCAAGCCTTCCGCTCAGATCCGTGGCTCTCCAGTAATGCTTCCTAGCAACAAGCAGCCACCAAATCCTAATAATTCGCTCCGTTCAAATAAACTGACTGATGAAATCTCAGATCGAATCGACAAAAATCGGCGACTCTTCACGTCTTTCAGCAAGAATTTCGTGCCTTTGCCGGCCATTATGATGATGAAGCCAATAAAGCAAGCTCAGCAGCACTATTTCTCTTCTAATTCAGTTCAGCATTTCTCATCACTTTTGGAATGTAGGAGAGGGCACTATGGTGGTGTTATTAGGACTGATATTGCACTGTGGATGCATCAGAAATGAGAGATTGATTCTTCTTGGAGGTAGGTAAGTAGCAGTCATTACTTCTTTTTATTTTCTGCGATGTAAAATTGTTTTTCCAAAATTTTCTGCTGAAATCTTATCCTCCAATAAAGACTGTTTAATTCTTTTTTTTTTAAAGTTGTTATGAGCATGTTTTGTATGATTATTTGATATGCAACCTTTTATCCTTCACTCATGTCACTAAGAATGGCAGAATCATCACCTTGTAAAAAACATGTTTTGTAGATTTGAGTCTATAATAGCTATGAAAATGTTGTGGTAAAATTGATTCTTCAAACAATTTTTTTGTATTTACATATCTAACACAAACTTGTATATTTACGTGCATAACACTAGGGGTGTAAACGAGCCGAACACGAGTTGTTCACGAACAAAGAATCATTTTAGCAACTCTAATCATGTAGTCATAAGACAATAAAGGTTATAAGACAATAAGGGTTTGAGCAAGATTTAAAAATTATTATTTATATTAAAACATCATTTGAATCTAATTTAATAATTTTTATTCTATTTTCTTAATCAATATTTTGATTGGTTATAAATCTTTGTAGCCTTGTAGTCAATTATATTTTTTAAAATACTACTTAATATATATACTTGATGAGTAGTATTTCGAGCCAAAACGAGCCGAACACGAACGAACACATCTTAGTTCGTGTTCGGCTCGTTAACTTATCGAACGAAATTAACGAGCTGAACACGAGCTTCTTAACGAGTCGAACACGAGTTGTTCTCGAACAACGAGCCGTTTTGACAACCCTACATATCACTCAAATTTTAATGTCACGTCAAAAATATCATTATTATTAACTTTTTAAAAAAGAGATGCATAGTTTTATGCATATGTTTATGACACCAAAGTGTATAAAAGTAAATTGGAAAATTCAGGTGTTGGGTATGTAAATACGTAAGAATTATGTGTTATGTATGTAAATCTCTCATTCTCTTAACATAAATCATGCTATAAGAAACATAAATACCATATTTCTGGGTATTCTGAGTTCCATGAAATTTTGAATTATTATTAATGCTTGATTTAACTCGCATAAATCAAATGATATTTCGAAGAAATTTTATTATTGAAAAAAAAAATAAAACTCCGAACATCTTAATGAGCTCGAAGAAACAACAAATCTTCAGCTGCTGCTGGTGTTTGCCTCTGGATTCCATTATGGCTTTCGGAAAATAATGAGGCTCATTTCGTTGATTGCAAACCGAATGTGTGCATAGATATATATATACATACATACATACATAGATGTATGGATACATAGATATATATTATTGCAAACCGAATATATATATATATATATATATATATATAGAGAGAGAGAGAGAGAGAGAGAGAGAGATGCACCGCGTACTCAGATCAGTTTGTTGGGCATCTACTTGTCAGTTGTAAGTCATCTCTGGTCAGGGTTTTGATTTACCCCGTGTATAGGGTGTGATACTCGAATTCTTTGGCGCATGAGGGATAATCGAGGCTCGTATAATAGTTTCAACCCATTCCAATTTTTAAAAAAAAGATATAGATACATACGTACATATATGTTTATGTACGTATGTATCTATGTACGTATGTATCTATGTATGTATGTACATATGTATCTATATATATATTACATATGTATCTATATATATATATTACATATGTATGTATCTATATATATATTACAGATACATATATTAGTATATGTATGTATGTACATATACATATGTATATATGTATGTATGTACATATACATATGTATATATGTATGTATGTACATATACATATGTATATATGTATGTATGTACATATACATATGTATCTATGTATGTATGTACATATACATATGTATCTATGTATGTCTATATATATACATATGTATCTATATATATACATGTATCTATACATACATATACATATATATCTATATGTATACATACATACATATACATATGTACATATACATATGTATCTATATATATACATATGTATCTATATATATATATATATATATACTTTCAATGCAAAAATAATATTATCATTGTTCATATGGCATAAAAAATATCACCATAACTTTTAAAATTTTTAAATACGCAAGGGCAGCATGTATGAAAAAATTGAAGTTTAGGTGTTAGATACATAATTACACAGGATTTTAAGTGTCATGTATGTAAATCTTCCTTAAAAAAGAAAAATGTACATACATACCACTATGTACACCAAAAAAATTAGCCAAAGCTGGCGTCTACCAAGCTTCGAGAACCTGATTAGTCAAAACATCCAGAAGCCACATTTATCATTGAAGTGACCTGCCAACCCAATTTGTTGATCGACCAGTCGTCTGACATTAGTTGTTGAATTTACCTATCAGATTGATTTGGTGAACTAGCTTGTCAAACCGGTCTGCTCCGTTTCATCTGATGAGCTAGTCAATCAGACTCACTAGACTAGCTCGTCTCCTCAATAATTCTTGGGATTCTAATAACGCAAAGGTCAAGACAAATGATTTGTTATATGCCCCATCCTCATTTATTAGCGGATTAATATACACTTTGCCTATCTTTTCGTTAAGACACTATGGATATATTTGGTACGACATGACTTATATTTTAATATTTTCTAAAACATGTATAATAAGAGGGAAGAACTAACTGGGGAGTAATTGACTCTCTAGGCCTTTCTTGAGGGGATTCTGCACCATGTCTTGTGAAATCTTTTCTGCCCCTCTTCTCATCATATCATTTTCTCTGCTTCGTTAGAGGATGAATGAAAAATAAATCATATAATTCAGGTATGGAGAATACATTTATCTTATTCATGCAACTTTCTCACACGTGGCTCTCCTTGATTGTGTGAACTCACAAACAGCACGCGACTCGACGTCCTAAAAAGATTGAACATCCTTAAAGGTAAGGTGAGCTTGGAGTTCATACTTAAACTTTGCAAGGAATTTTTTTAGCGCAAGGAATAACAAATGAATACTATCGATTGAACTAGAGAATTTGTGATGTAATAAATCAATGAGCTAAAGGAAGAGATGATAAAAGTTATACAAGAAGCAAGAGAAAAAACCTCCATATCTCATTCTAGAGCCCATTCTAAGGCACACACAGGATCATTAGGATCGATATTTCACAGATGAGATGCATTGGGCAACATCTACTAAGAGCAAGACCTAAAAGGGCTCTTGGACCAAGGCTAGAAAAAGAAGAAGGGAGGGTTGAGTTTTACATCTCAATGAGGGAATCTTTTGAATCCTCGGACGAAGGTGCCAAAAGAAAGAGAAGACAAAGATTGTTGGAGAATGCATCCTCAAGGGAGATTACATAAGCGAAGGCAGCGAAGAAATTTAAGATTCCATCTCTGGAATTTCTCTGCTGACAATGTAACTTCTTTCGATTCATGTATATGTTTATTAAGGGTAAAGAACTCTCTAAAATGTCCTTTATTATTTATGAAGTTACATGGATTTTCTTTACGTTGGTTGATTGACTTGTAGGAGCATCATTTCTTTCGAAGAATTTAAGCAAATATTTGTCGCACAATTTAATAGTGCACAAAATTCACTGAAGGACTCCCAAACTCTTCTGAAGTTCCATAAAGAGCCTTCGGAAAGCCTTAGAAGCTTCATCACATGCTTCCAATGAAATGCTTGATTTAAAAATCTTAGAAATTGTTGTCCCTCCTGCAGGCGAAGGTTCAATCAGGTACACACTTAGCTTGCAAAAGCTGAGAACCTTCACCGAGCTCTTGGAGCTTGCTAACAACCATATTTCTATGGAGGAATACAAATCCCAACCTGATTCCTCTAAATCTCAAGGGTCGAAGAGAGGTTTCAAAAGCAACCCGCCAAGAAGTTGTTTTGACATGAAGAGCTTCCAAAACACCTTTGAAAAGCACTTTAGACAAAAGGAGAGGAAACCTCTCGATAAAGCACTGGTTGGGAACGACCTGAAAGAAGGCGAGGTCCGCCTTAGTTTCCCCCAATCGAAGTCATGCTTATAGAGACCATCTGGAATAAGGAGTTCTTCAAGAAGCCATTGTCGATGAAGGCATAATTCATGTGTGACCCTAACAGGATATCGAGGAGTTTCAAAACCTCTGTAGCCTAATTAGAGAGTCGGTCAAAATAGAAAAACTTAAGGAATTTGTGGCTCCTGAGGCTAACACACGAAGGTAAGGGAAAGCAGCTACCGAGGATATTAACAATGAACATACTCCAACAAGAATATTGCATGTTGTCAGCATTTTACCATCCATCTTTGGATGAGATGGACCTGAAGCTTAAAGTGATTGAGGACATGAAAAGTTCACTTAGTTGCTTTGGCCATGACAAGGACAGTGGCTCATCCACCCATCATCTTTACAAACTTAAAATTGCTTGCTAGCGGAAGTCCCTTCAACAAGGCCATCGTGGTCACTACTGTAATATCTGACTATGAGATCAGAAGCGTCCTGTGGATACGGGCACCTCTAAAAATTTTACTTCAAACGAATCTTCGAGATGATGGCCATAGCCAACAATCAACTCGAGCATAGCTCCGGTCCACTCTATGTACCTCGACCTCCCTCCTCATCGAATCCTGTTTGCGAGTTACCTACCTTGACGATCCAATATGGATCCTTGCTCCAGAGCGAACTTGGGACGCTTCATGCAAATCATGCATCACTTTCCTCATGAGATCCCTCATCTCCTTTATTATACTCTCTGTTAATATCCATCGTTCTCTAGTAGTGTCCTCCAGATGATACAAAGGGGATCTTGTTTGCAATATTAGTGTATGATACCCACGTTGACCGCATTTTTCAGAATGTTAAATCCATTTGAGACGTAGGTTCTCGTATAGTCCGTGAACATATAAAATCCGATAGAAGCTCCCGTATGACTGAAATTATTGGAGAACTTGAAATAAGATGGAGAGAGATGGACCAAGGATCCTTGGTGGAGACTTTGAAAAAGCCTATATGATTGTAATTTTCAATAAGTTAGAGATGGATGATTTCACAAGGATACCTCAAGCTCACTGAGAGCGAGAGATTCTAAGGAGAGAGAAATAGCCCAAGGAGCCATCACCCTCCTTTTTCCCTCTTTTCCCATTTTTATACATGAGACAATTAATCATAAAATAATGAATAGAGTGCTTCTAGCTTCGTCGACAAGCTTCCTCTAATATCCTTGATGGGAAGACTTTAATGTAGACAAGATCTAACCTGGTGTGTAATCCGACGTCGGCGATGTAATGGCATCCTTTATGCTTAGGCATTGTGCCAGGCCTCGAAAATTAATTGATACACCAAACGTTGAACGGAAATGCATTTTTTTATTGGATTTGAGGGCGCTTTATCAACTTCGGCTCGTAGGCTTAATTCACCTACTTCGACTGATAGGTACCACTTCAGCTGGTGGGCTTAACTCATCTATTTCGGCTGATAGACCTAGTTTAAATCAACTATTTCGTTTGATATGCTCAGTTCCTTCGGCTCGTAGGCTTAATTCACCTACTTCGACTGGTAGGTACCACTTCAGCTGGTGGGCTTAACGCAGCTATTTCGGCTGATACACCCAGTTTAAATCAACTACTTCGTTTGATAGGCTCAGTTATGCACTTTGGCTGGTGAAATCAATTCCTGTGAATAAAATATAAAAAATAATTATAAAATTACCCTGATCCAATATTTATATTTACATTAAAATTTACTTATTAATATAACAAATAATTTTCAAGATTTCATACATCCAAATTTATAGTATTTTACTAAATCCTATTTAAACAAAAATCCTACTTGCAACCAAATAGCCCTTTAAAATCTTTAACATCACACCAAATATACCACGACTTTCACTCTCTTTTTAAATTTTAAGAAAATTAAATACCTTTTTCATGCATAGGCTGACTACTACATCAAAGTGTTGTGAGTATAAATATCAAACTTTTAAATACATAAGAATTGGCTTGTATGTATGTCAAAATTTTCTATTTGTTGTGTGCTTTAAAAGGTTTAGGATGTTATAAATGTAAAACATAAAATTTAGGTGTTAGATATGTAAATACACAGGAGTTATGTGATATGCATGTAAATGCCTCCAAAAAGAATACCTCTCCAATTAGGGCCGTAAGAAAAACTCAATTCAATTCTTCGCGAGTTCGGCTCGTTAAGTAGCTCGTGTTCGGCTCGTTCATTGAGTAAACAAGTCAAACACGAACAAGTTTTTAAAGCTCGAATTATAAGCGAGCCAAACACGAACAGTTCTTTGTTCGCTCGTGTTCGGCTCGTTGTAGCTCGAAATATATAATTATTTATATACTTATATTTTATATATATTTATATCTAAATTTAAATCATAACATCTCGTGTGGCAATGTGATTATTGCTTTTTTTTGTATATATTTGGTCCATGTTCGAATCCCACTTTACATTTATTTTTTTCAATTTAATTTTTCCGAGTCAATTTCGAGCCGAACACGAACACACTGCTCACGAGCTAATTTCGAACACGAACCGATTTCGAACACGAGCAGAGCCGAACACGAGCCCTGCCTGAGCTCGCTCAAGCTGGGCTCGTTTACAGCGCTATCTCCAATCATATACCTGAACAAACTGATTTCACACCTCCTTGATAAATACATGTATTTGATAAGTTCTAGAACAACAATAGAAAAGAAAATTCAAGGGAAAGTAAAAGAGCCGCCAATCTGAGAAGAACTACCAGGAGGATTGATGGCCACCCACAGCAGAGAAATAGTAATCGCAATTAGCCCAGACCACACAAACACTATAGTCGGCGTCTTCCCCCTCCTCCCCATCAACCCCTTCGCAAAAGGATAGAGATGAGTCAGCACCCACAGACTGAAGAACACCCCTCCAATCAGCTTACTCCACTGCGGCACCGTGCTGTAAATCGTCCGGCTCACCCCCACCGCAATGCCGATGAGATTCACCATCATTATGGTTATCGGAGGAATCATCAGTGACGTCCACTTCACGATATACAGATCAGCAAAGTCATCGTCTTCCTCATCTCCGGCGGACTTGGAGGTAAGCGTGAACGAGATCTCTATCCCTGCTATCACCTTAAGCAGGCCTTGAAGAACGGCCGCAAGATGCGCGCTTGTGCCACCAATCAACCAGAACTGCTCGTTTCTCCACCATTCCTCCAGCTCAATCCCGGACCATTTGACCTCGAGCACTGCGAGCAGGCAGAGGGTGATGGTGATGACGAGAAGGTAGGTGAGGAAGGTGACGTTGAGAGTCTGGACTATGAATTGGCCGGAGAAGAGGGAGAGAGCCGGGAGGAAGCAGTAGACGATTAGGAAGAAGGAGGTGAAGGGATATATGCCTACGTTGAGGTATGCGATTCTTTGAAGATGGTTCAATTTTGGACTGGCGAGGAGAGCGTTGTTTCTGGAGAAGAAGATCTCCACGGATCCTGTCGCCCACCGCAGCACTTGGTGGAGCCGGTCGGTGAGGTTGATCGGCGCGGTACCGCGGAAAGCATCGCGCTTTGTCACGCAGTAAACCGATCTCCAGCCTCGATTATGCATTCTGTATCCGGTGACGACGTCTTCGGTGACGGAGCCGTAGATCCAGCCTACTCGATGCCCCCATTCCGTCTTGTCCTCGTACCAGCACGAGATAACGCTGATGGCTTCCGCCACTGTGGATGCGTCGAGAAGGTCACGAGGTATGACGAGAGCGCCGGGAGGCCGGCCATTCTTGACGGCTGGATGGTCGGCGAGTGGGCGGCCTTGAAACTCCGCCACAGGGATGGAATCAATCAGAAAGTTCGAGTTGCCAAACTTCTTCGGAAAAGACGAAAGATTCATCATTTCGTCATCGTCATCATCGGCCATTCGTAGGGCGCGAGTCTCCTCCGCAGCAGTGCTGGCCTTCTTCCTTTTGCCGGGAAAGCAGGAGCTATGGCGGCTTGCCTGAGGGGGGTCAAAGCCATAGAGAGCGATGCGTCTGAACAAGCAGCCGGTGCCGACATAAACAGGTCCCTGTAAGCCGTCGAGGGCGCGCATGTTAACGTCGAAGAAGACGGTGTTGTTGTTGGCGTAACGATCGGAGGGATCGATGCCCTCGAATCGCTGCGGAAACTGAACATAGCAGATGCGATCGCCGCCACGGTCCATCATGAAGCACATGCCCTCGCGCAAGGCGAGCGAGTTGTACACATAGTGATCACAGTCGAGGTTTAGGATGAAGGGGCCGTTAGACATGACTGCCGAAGCTCGAACCAGGGCGTTCATGGCGCCGGCTTTTTTGTTGTGGTCATAGCCCGGACGTTTCTCGCGCGAAACATAGACTAATAAGGGCAGGCGGATGTCAACTTCGTTGAGATCAAAGGACTTGGTTTCATCATTGCTGCCGAGTAAGGGTTCATCACTTGGGGGTTTCAGCATCACCTTGACGAAGAAAATCAAAAAGATCACTTTTTTAAAATAATCTGATAGAAAATTTATAAATTTTGAAGGAGAATGATAGAATAGTGACGGGAGGGCACCTGAATGATTCCGGCATGATCTCCTCGAGAATGCTCGGCAGCTGAGTTAATCCAAGTGCCGGGCCAATGAGTGCCATCGGCCATCCAAGTGGCCTTTGGGATCTTAACGGGTTCTATGGGCTCGTCCAGAGCGGCCTCTCTTTGGCGCTTCATCGCCTTGATCTCCTCCCTAGCATGGAACGCATCAGACCTCCGGCGAATGGAGTCCGGCAGACCATTGATACGAACCTTGAACTCCTCGTACTCTCGCTTCAATCGTCTCCTATCTTTTACAAAATCCGAACGAATCTTGTTCTTGTAAGGATCCCGCTTCATGCCGAAATAACTTTCAGGATTTCTCGGCTCGATGTCGTGCTTGCGGCAGAATGGGACCCATAGATTGGCGAAGCTAGCTGCCTCCGCCATTGCTTCGAAGGTGAGAAGGGCGCCGCCATCGTCAGAAACATAGCAGGCAAGCTTCTCCACAGGGTAATCTGCGGCAAGGATGGACAGGATGGTGTTGGCGGTGACTAAAGGCGGCTCCTTTTCAGGATCAGCAGTTGAAACAAAGACATCAATGCCAGGAAGATCTGATTTTCCCGAGGGGTTGGAAGGCGAAGGAGATTCAAACTTCTCCTTCAGAACGAGAAGGTCGGTGGTTCGATTAACGGGGCAGAGCTTCGGCAGCTGGTCCAAGAGCCAGGAGAAGGCGAACCATATCTCGCAGACAACTGACATGCCCCAAAGCCAAATGGCGTCTTCGTTCTTGTGCCTGATTCTCCATGCAAGAAAGAGGCCAAGAATGGCCATTCGAATGAAGATGAGTAGCCTGGTAGGAGTTCAGAACTTAATTAGGAAAAGATTAGCAAAACAAAATCGATCAATCTCTAACTTCTCACGATTCAGTTTGAGTTACCTATAAGGACTGAGGATTGCAGCTGGGATCTTCAATTCCCTGGTAAGAGGTCTCCATGGCTTGCACACAAGCTCCGCCGGCTGTCCGCTGCCGCCGTCACCATCATTCTCCCTCGGCCAGATGGCATTTCCATACCCATAAGTCGCCTTAGTCTCGAACAACAACCGGTTTTGATCAAACTCTCCGGTCTGGCTCCTTGTCAGACTTCTTGCATAGTTCCTCGACTTCATTAGCGACAACCGCCTCTCCATCTTCGACATCCCTGCTAAAGAAAATTGCAGTGATAACTGGGGCTTCTCCTTAGCGATGACTTCATCCATGTCCTTCGCCTTATAAGGCTCCTTACAACCCCGGCAAGTCCCATTGGCCTTCAAATCCTCCACGAAGCAGTCACGGCAGATCTTGTAACCGCACTCACAGGGAAGAATATCGTTGCCGCGCTCATCGCTCATGACTTTGGAGCCACAGCCGGGGACGGCACAAGACGAGCCCTTGGCTCCGGCCATCTGCGGGTGGCTCGACTCAGAGTCGATCACCTTGTTCATAAGCTGCGCGCGCGTCACACTGTTGAATCCACCGGTGAATAGAGAGTTGGAGACGTACTGTTCCTCTACGCGGGCGGAGATTGAGGGATCGGGATTAGCTGAGGCTGCAGAGTCCATTGGCTGGTTGTCGGGAGTGGGAGGAATGTTGATGTGGTAGCTGAGAAACTCCTTGGAGTGGTCGCCGCCGCCGAGCTCACTGCCAAGGTCGTCTCGGGAGTAGCTGATGTTTCTCCCGGACATTGTCCGGCGGCCAAAGGTCACTGTTTGGGTGCTCGTCGCCGGCGGAGGGATCCGGGTCGACCAGGTGGCTCGCAGAGCCTGGTTTTTGTTTGCCATCGGAGTAGAAACAGAAAAAGCTTGATCTTATGGGTCAAGTGACTGTAGAAAGAGAGATCCGACAACTGCAAGACCGGATCTGATAGAATGGATCAGAAAATAGAAGACTGATGAAAGAGACCCAAACCACAACAGCCAATGAAAGCGCTTCCGGTTAACTTTCCTTCCTTAATCTACCCGTCCGTCGCTTAAGACTTTCAGAAACATAATGCAGCAGAAAAAGAAAGGAACATTCTGAAAAAGGAGGATGAATCCAACTGCACCGCAAATGGCTGTACTCTATAAAATCTGAGAACGCTTACTCCATAGTAAAAGATCGACCTTGATTCATCACCTGTAAACGGAGAGAAGGGATCCACCCTCCACTCCACCTCAGAGGTGGGGTTCCTTATCAGAAAGAGTAAAGCAAAGCTCCGCAGAGAACAACAGGGCTAATTGAGGATGAGGGTTTCTCTCCCCGATTTACAGGAGGACGATTTCAGTACTGGAGAAACAACAGGGCTAGTGTTCGATTTCAGGAGGAAAGATTCGGACGGGAGAACAAAGTTGTGAGCTTTACAGCACTGCTCCCTTCGAACGGGTTTGGTTAACTGTAAAATAGTTTTTTAATTTTCCCAACGAAAGCACGTTTGGTAGCTCGTTGTTGTACGCGAGCGTCTCGCATGCGAACTAAAGAGCTTAATGGACTGTTTGCATTTTTTTTGTCACTCGACATGTGAGTCGGTGGCGTTAACTGCGGGATTAATCGGCTGGAATTAAAATATTGCTTCAAAAAAATCATATTAATATAAATTAAATGCTTTTTAAAATATTGCTTCAAAAAAATCATATTAATATAAATTAAATGTTTTTTTTTTCTATAAATGATAATTGATATGCATGATGTTTTCTTTTAAATGAATATTGCTTCAAAAAAATCATATTAATATAAATTAAATACTTTTTAAAATATTGCTTAAAAAAAATCATATTAATATAAATTAAATGCTTTTTTTTTTCTATAAATGATAATTGATATGCATAATGTTTTCTTTTAAGTGAAATATTCTTGATCTTTTCAGGAATTTTTGTTAGTGAAAAATTTCAAATATTTGGTGGTAAAATGAAAAATGTAAATCTAAGAAATATTTGGGGTTGGTGTCAAGAATATTGTGGGTTTTTTTTTAATGGTAGAATATATTTAAGCAAATGGTTACAACATATTTTTGTAGTCTTGAAATACATTAAAAAAAAAAAAAGTATTTACATGGGGTGTGTATAGTTTAAAAGTAATACAAAAAATTAATGATCTAAGTGCACTATAAAGGGTTTAGGTTCTTTCTTTCGTCGGGGTGAGTGGTTGGCCCATGTGGCTGGATGGTGATTAAAATGTCAAAAGCTTATGTAAAGACAAAGCACTGGGGGATATGCTTATAAATACCTACCTTTTTGTTGTGTATATATTTATAATAATTGAGTAGTATGTACGGCTAAATTTCGATTTGAGAGAGGGTCAGTTGGAGCAGCGAGGCGATTGACTAGTGGGCGGCCGACCGACAGGCGATGTGGCATTTTTCAAGAGTTTGGCTAGCCATGGTGGCTGCCAAAAGGGGCGAGACAGTTGGTCAGTGGATGGTCGATCAGATGGCATGGTCGCTTGTCGATGAGCGAAGTGGCCTGCTAGAGGGTGGTCGATAAGGTTTTGGCGAGAATTATGTAAATATGTTATCTTTTAAAAATAGATCGGTCGGGCAGTGGATGACCCACCAGAGTCGGAGGCAGCTGGCAGGCGGGTGGAGGTGGCCGGCCAAATGGTGGCTTGCAAGTTTTGGTGGTGCATAGTAGGTTTGGGTGTTATACAGGCAAGTTTTCCTTTTTTACCTTTTATTTTATTTTACTATTACGAGGTGGTCGATCATAGTGGTCGGTCGGCTAGACATTCCTTCGTTTGGCCAGCCTAAGTGGCTGACCCTTTATGTCCATGGTTGTTGGCGCGTCTACGGCGGCAACGATCCTTTTGAATCGGCGAGGTCGTATTTTTGGGCTATACATGAAGCTTTCGAGTTTTTCATTTCTTGAAGATGGAGTTGCAAAAAGAATAAAAAATTCATTAGCCCCGAAAGCATAAGCATTAAAATTTTAACAGTTATCTTGGTATATTTTAGTGAATAAGTCTTACGGAAAAATATCCATATGATAGTGTTTAGATCTTTGGAGAATATAATCAAGCTTACTTTTTAGATTTTTGGGTTAAAATGCTCTCACTACTCAAACTCTCTCCTTACCCATCTTTCTTGCTCTTATCAAAATATCACCTCCGATGGGTCTCATCTTACGCCAAGTTTTAGGCAGTGTTGTCGCTGCCTTCATGGGGGTGGCCGTTGAGACTCCCTAGTGGGGTGATTTACGGCTTACCCCTTACGGATCTTGTCTCATTGATGCATGGAACCACTACTATAGATGTTTCCAACTTGAGCTTTGAGAATGGGTTTTTGGAGACTTCTAAAGGGAGAGAAGAAGCTTTGTTTGTTATTCTTGAGGAGAGACTCAAGTCAAGAGAGATTTTTGGAACGCTCATCTCGAAGGAGAGGCTTAAAGGGTTTGAGAGCTCAATTTGCTCGTCCCAAAGGGGTGGCTTGGAGTGCTCTTCCCGGATAAGAGGCTTAGAGAGAATTCGTTGGCTTGCCCCGGATGGGAGGCTTAGAGAGGGAGAGTGATTTTGTTTTTTGAGTGCTCTCTGAGAAGAGAGACTTAAGTGAGAAGAGAGATGTCTTTTATCTTTCTTTTTTATTTGCATTTATCTTATTTATATTCTTCTTTTCTTTCATTTACTTTTTATTTTTCTTCCTTAACGAACAATAAGTAAATGAGGTAGAGTGAGGATGTGATTTTCTTTTTTTATTTTTTTCTTTGTGACTTGCTAGCCGTTCGAGTATAAGGGGAATCATTTCCTTCTCCTTCCCTAGGATGTGATTTTTTTTTTTTTTTTTCTTTGTGACTTGCTAGCCGTTCAAGTATAAGGGGAATCATTTCCTTCTCCTTCCGTTACTTTTGCTTGTTCTTTTTGTCTTTTTCTCCTTTTATATTTTCTTCTTTTTGCTTTATGTCTTGTCAAGCTTTTATCATGTTTTTTTTTATTTTTGCTTTCTCTTTTTTTTTGACCCGTCACATCTTTAGTTATATCTCCATCTTATTATTCTTCTTCTTATTCCTCATTTTTCTATCATTTGGTTTTCTCAACTCGGAAGACTTCTCGTTTTATCGGTGACACATTCCATGCTCGCTGTACATTTTAGGATGTTTAATCCAAATCTGTCTGGATGACCATGCCCATTAAATAGAGCCAGATTCCAGGGGGTGAGAAGAGAGAGAGAGAGAGAGTGAGAGATGATTGTCCTATCGAGGGGCGAATTGGGAGTGTCTCTGAGCTCGGAGGCTACAAGTGAGGGAGAAGGGGAGCAAGCTTTCTACATGAGGGCGAAAGAGTGAGCATAAAGAGATCCCTTTTACATGCTAAGAGATCATCCATTTATAGAGAGAAAAAAAGGAGGAAGAAGATTACATTTATCCCTTTCTTATAAGGGGGGTCAGGAGGGGCACTCTGACCTTTTTCCTATCTGAACTGGTCCTTCTGGAGTTTTTTCTTGTTGCTACCATCATCTGCGTCAGATGGCTGGCCCAATTGGCCAAACAGCGAATAAAATATCAAAGTTTATGTGTTGGATATGTAAAGATGAAGAATTGGGGGATATGCTTATAAATACCTACCTTTTCGCAGTATATATATTTATAAGAATTGAGTAGTATGCAAATAAAATTTCAGTTTGAGAGGTAGACGACTAGAGAAGCGAGACGGTCGGCAAGTGGGCGACTTGCCAGAAGGGGAGGTGATCGGCCAGTGGGCGACCGACCGGCGGGCGTAGTAACGATTTGGGTGTTGCGTATGTAAATTTATAAATTTTCAAGAGTTTGGCTTGTTATAGTGGTTGACCGTGCGGTGAGGCAGTTGGCCTGGCCAGCTAGAGGGGGGTTCGCCGATCAATAGGCAGTTGGCGGATGGGTGAGGCTGCCTGCTAGATGGTGGTCGGTAATGTTTGAGTGGTAATTATATAAATCTATTATCTTTTAAGAGTTGGTGACCATGGTGGTCGCCCGGAGCGGCCAAGCAGAAGCCCAGTAGATGGTCGACCGGAGTAGAAGGCCATCGACCGACAGGTGAGGTGGTCGGCCAAAGGACAGCCGACAAGTTTAGGCAGTGCATAATAGTTTGGGTGTTATGTATATAAATTTTCTTTTTTACTTCTTATTTTATTATGTTTCTTAAGAGTTAGTCAATCATGGTGGTCGATCGGCTGAGGTGGCCGGCAAAGAGGCTCTTTGTATGGTCAGCTTAAGTGGCTGGCTATGTTGGCTCGTGGTTGGTGGCTCTTCTCTGGCGACGACAATTCTTCCGGCTCAATGGGGTCATATTTTTAAGCTATACAACACTTACAATAGAAAAGTTTGTCATAAAATTAATATTTTTTAAAAGCACAATTAAATTAAAAACCGTTATATAATTACAAATTATTCGACCACTCATCATTTTATTTTTCAATAAGATTACAACTTACAAAAAATAAATTTTCACTAAACTCGTGTAAGCTTTTACAAAATAAAAGATTCCACTATACATTGTATAGGTAAGAATAAATAATAAATTATTTTATACTCATGTAGATCAAAAATTTGTCAGCATGAATCTTTTAGATATCTCACAACCAACAGAAGAGGTGATATGGCATCATGGGACTCATCAAGGACGACCTGAGACCTCACACTTAGTTGATCGGCTCCCGTTACCGAGTAGACGGTGCTTCTCAAATGGATAAGAGTAGAACATCTCCTAAAGAATCAATCTGATCAGACTCATGTGGACAAATTAGTGCCCTTCTCTTTGGTCAGGCCAGGTGAGCAGGTTAAACCATCATATTCTAGAGTAGCTAGTATCGATCCTCAACAAGGGGCTATAAGGCCTGATGTCCACCAGACCTTATGGACGCTCGACCTATTGTCTGCACGGCCTAATGGCCCCTCCCTCTCGACTCTATGAGTGTCCGACCACTTCTGACTGGATGCCTCTCCAAGTCCCCAGATTAGTCCCACTAGACATGCGCTGTCCCTCGAGCTATATATATGTATAGACTAAAATACCCCTGCCATATATATATGTATACTAAGGACATATTATGTAATTGTATATTTTTATTCATTCCTAAAAATAGGAGTCTATTCCATGAATAAATGTTATGTGAATTTACTGTTCTATATCGTGCTTATGCTTTCCTTGCCCTCCCTCCCTCCCTCCCTGTAGAGCTCAATTCCTTGGGTGTGTCTCCCAAATAATTTTTAATTCACAAGCATTAAAAAGTGTGTTGAGCATAGAGTCATGTCGTTGGCTAGAAGAGGAGCACAAAAGGGGCGGGGGGGCGGTGCAAAGAAAAGCAACAACGTAAAACCCCCCCACGAGATGACGTATAAAATCGTATGCAGTGAGGGATGCAGGAGATGAGGACTCAGATCATGGATTAGTGTCAGGTCAGATCGTGGAGGTCCTAAGAGCTGTCCCAGTCCTAAAAGTCGAGTCCCCCAAGTGCAGCACCCGTCACAGGAGGCCGAACTTGAGCACAACGACAGAAGATTGAACAACGACACCGAGAGAGCCGATGACTCACAAAACTAGGACAACGCAGGATCTGAGAAAATCAAGAAGCAACGACTTGGGTGCACCAAAGCTCCATGTCAATCTGAGGACCCTTTTTTCCTTCATATCTCTGGAGTGGAACCCTCAGAGAAGTTCAAGCTTTTGGCGTTGGATGCTTATCGGGGGCGGCCATATTCCAATGATCACATCACCGATGTGCTTGATGAAGGTTTTTTTTGGCGTTGGATGCTTATCGGGGGCGGCCATATTTTGATCACCGATGTGCTTGATGAAGGTTTCAGATGCCTCAAATGCTGATTGTTCTTCACCACTCCGAGTTCATTAGCATTAAAGTGGTTCCAATCACTCCCAGGTGGGAGCATCAACAACTTTTCGGACTTTTGAAGACTTTTTTGGTGCAATTCGCAAGAGCTCGAGCACTAAGGATAAGCACATGAACCTTATGACATATAATGTAGGGATTGAATGAGAGCATATGCTCCTATGTCCTTCACTTATAAAAAGAAATACTAGATGTAAAGGACCTCTAAGTTGACATGGCACATGTCACCTTGGAGCAGAGACTGAGGTCTGAAAGGTTTCATTCAACCTCAACTTACAAAAACATCGGGAAAAGGCAGAGTTTTTGGAGATGGCCAAAAAATACATGCTCGCTGAGGATAACGTTCCTAAGTCGGAACCAGTGGAGCCTCAGACTTTGAAAAGGGCTTTCTCGAACACCAGGCCGAGGTCAGGGGAGAACCACCAACTGCTCCTTAGGCGTGCGTATGAAGATGGCTAATCCTCTCGCAACAACAAAGGATCGGGCTGGAGGAGCGAGCAAGGAGATCGGGGCGAGGAATTGTAATCCGCGATCGGCTCGGTTTTATGAGAGTTTGACTCAGCATTATGAACTACTTACGACAAGTTTAACGGCTCGCGGATCACACCTTTGAGGGTATTAATGGCAGAGATTGTAGATGTCATTCAACAAGGAGTACCTCAAGGAGGCCATACCGATGAGAGTCAAAGCTTTTCTCCGGGACACGAGGAAGTTTGGCAAGTATCATCGGGAATACGACCATGACACGGAGGAATGCAGGCACCTCCAAAGCCTCATCAGAGAACTAATTAAGTTAGAGAAGCTTAAGGAGTTTGTGGCTCAGGGACACTCAATTTAAAGACAGAAAAGCTACAACAACTAAGGCTTGTCTAGAAGAATGTTGTCTATTTCATCGGGATAGTCTCAGCTATTCTCGAAAGAACGAATTTTCCCCAACGAGCTATGCAACCTTAATTTCATACAAAGGAGGGGGTGTTGCCCTCCCATCACTTTCATAGATTGCGACCTTCCCTGAGGGGGGAACCCCTACAATGAGGCTATAGTTGTAGCAAGGATAGTAAGTAACTTACAAGTCAGAAGTATTTTTATCTACAATGGTAGCACTGACCGACCCACTATTGGGTGTGATGCCACTAGCGATCACTTGGGGAGAAGGAGATAAGTAGTTTACGGAGACATAGGAATTTATGATAGTGGACTCTCATCCTACCTACAATGTCATCTTCAATCACCCGCTGTTTAATTGTTTCAAGGCCGTAGTGTCCAGCCATCACATTCAAGTAAGTTCCCAGGAGATGGGGAAGTAGTCACTGTTAGAGGAGATTTAGAGCGGTCACGGGTCAACCATCTCTGGGCAGTATGAAGCGTGGAACAGAAATTGGTTGACCTGCAAAATCTCCTGGGAACTTAGCTTAGACCCTACATAAGGTTAACTTTTTAAAACTTAAGTTCTTTATAAAACTTACATCTAGTGGCACCTCTTAGGATCCTTGGATCCTTAGGACGGGCCATGGACGGCGACCCCGTTAAGACATATGCCTGCCACCTTTGACGAAACCCTACACTCACCTAAATGATGAGATAGGACACTACGTTAGATGATGTGCTAAGCTAAAGCTAGAATGCCAAGTACTTTTCGATGTCCTCGCTATAGTTATCTGTTGATTTGGTTGTCGTAGGCAGGCGTCACTTTTGTGCTACTTTTGTGTGTTTATTGGGTGTGAGACGTGTGCACTAGTATATTAGCAACGGTTTTCTAACGGGGAGTAATGCCTGAAGCACATATACACCTGTAATTGGGAAGGGCATGTAATAATTTGAATGACTAACTCTTTTTTGCAAGTGTTGCTAAGCTCTTCCCACCGGACATGACTCATATGCATTGCATGTAGATAGTTTTTTTTTTCTGCTAACATTATTTTCATACAGTTCATCTCTTTTTTTTTTATTTACTTTTCCTATGCATTTTTTAGAGTCCTTGGGGAAGTATGTATTAGAATTAAGGTACAAGCTGTCAAGCACAGGTTCTGAGGTTTCAGACAGGCAAAACCACGTGATAGGGACCAGCAGCTCCTTGCTCGTGTCCAGTACCTTACTTCTAAGTTTTATTGATGTATAGAATTATGACTAACTGTGTACTTTTACAATATTTAGTCTCCTTTTTCTATTTTTGGGACATGTTGTCGACCCAGCGGTGCTCGACATTTCTTATTCTTTTGATTCTGTGTGTTTTACTTTCTTGCTTTTTTGCATGTAATCCCCAGTTTCGTCCTTTTTGACTTATGATTTTATCAGGAATAATGCGGATCACATAGGCTCTTTAGGACCTAATTTATTCTAAACTTTCTGCAAAAAGTTTAATAATAAAAATTTGAGACATTAAAGGGTATGTTGAAAATATCTCAAGATTTTTCAATATCGACATTTTACTTTCGTGCATGGTCTTTGGGCTGAATTTTAAACGGATCGTATGCATGTTTTTATCCCCAGTTATAATTAATAGGGTCTCCATGCTTAGGACTTATTATACAACTATATCAAGCTTACATGTCTCGAAAAGAGGACCCCATGCTTCTCCAACCAGACTGACCCTGCATAGATTTTTACTTAGGTGGTTGCCTAGTGCGCTTAGGGCATTAAAGGCTTTCTCGACCCAAATGGGGATTAAGTAATTTGTTGAGAGTATTTTCAGCTTTGTTGCTGAGCCTCTCCTCGTTTTTTCACTCCAAAGGAATCTCCACCACTTTGGTAGGTATAAGCCTAGCATATGCTCTTCCTGCTTACATAAGGTCATAGGATTAAAGTTTCTTTTACTTAACCTTAGGGTATGTTATTGGGCTATCAAGCGAGTTTACTTCACAAAAGTTCTCCACGTTCTTTCTTATTTATCTTTGTTGTCGTATAACCCATAATTTCTGGTTCATCTCTTCTTCAAATCATTCATATGATCTGGAAAAGAGATTTATTTGAAAAATAAAATTATACGATAATGGACAAGCTGACGATTCCTAAAAAAAAAGAGAGAAAGAACTAAAATAAATTGGTCTCCACTAGAGAAGACTCTCTTCATTATAGGAGTCTTGCTTACACTTATATGACCCATCTCCTTTCTTCCTAGCATCACCGTTTGTTGTCTTTTAGAACTTGGATTTCAGATCTACGCACAGGTTACCACGGTTGGGAACTCGGTGCTATTGTGTCCTTTCCTTTTTACCCTCAGCATTTCGTCGTTGCACATTCACAGACATCGATGTTGTTGTATACTTCATGATTTTTTTAAACCTTTTTCTTGAAGTTTGATCGTAGTCCCTCTTTTCTTGATAAAAATTGCGAGCAAGAAGGTGATCACAATTACTGTTGTTGGGGGAGCACCGCTCCCTTTACTCCTAGCATTTTCTCTGCCCCTGAGGGAACCAAAATTTAAATGAATTTCTATATATTACACTCATTTTAAAGTTAATGCAATAACTTTAATATTCATTCTAATCAAATTTTGATCAGATCATCCTAATCCAAAATTAAATAAAACAAAAAAGAACAGCAAACTACAACTACATGAAAAGCACCATGAACTCAACAAAAAGTCCACTTCTTCATTCCTCCATTCAAGCAAAATATGAACAGATTTTTTGTAGTAAACAAGAACTGCCTTTTTTTTTAATATAAAATACAAACAAAAACCTTAAATTGCATTCTTACAGAATAATCACAAATCATCAAAAACTCCCCTTCCTCATCTCCTCAGCCATAACCTTTTCCTTCGTCTTTGATCCCACCTCGCTTGCAGCATGACCAACCTTCCTGAAAGCTCCACTCACCAATGACACCCCACCGAACACATACTTGTTCTTCATCATTGCCGAACCTGCACCACTCACCTTTTGCCCCGCCGCCGTCATGGCCGATTTCGTCTTCCCCGACACCTCGAATCGCCGGTCGACCTCCCGGACCTTCCCGGTCACCGCTGAAGCGCCGGCACCAATCTTCTCGCTCAGCCCAATTTTCTGATCAAGGGAAACAACCTTGGCAGCGGCTGTGGACGTTATCCGGTGCTTCTCGTCGAAGGATTTGGCTATGCCAACGGTTCCTTTGCCCAGAACATAGGATTTTGCGAGCACACTGGCAACGACATCTTCGGTTCTTCCAACGACGGATTGCGAACCGCTGGTTGGCTGCTTCTCTTCATACTACAGTATGAAGATTTTTATTTTTATTTTTTGTTGATCAAGAATTTAGATATTTATTACTCTGTGAGAACAAAGTATGAAAAAGTAGATATGAAAACATATATGGATTCATACCGGTGGAGGAAGAGACATGATGCGTGGTGGCTGATAATCAGAAGCAATTGTAATGATAACAGATTGATCAACTATAGTTGCACCCTGAGACACAAATAAAATAGCATTTAGAGAATTGCTACAAGGATATAAATATATATGAGAAGATTTACATATATACAACTCAAATTCTCTTTATTTACATACCTAACACATATACTTCATTTTTTACATATATATGCCCCTTTTTTTAAAAGTTAAAAAGTGGTATTTTTTATGCAATATGAGCATTGTAAAAGTTGAAGTTTAGGTGTTTGGTTTGTGTTACATAGGAATTGGGTGGTATACATGTAAATGAGCCATATATAAATACTACTGCAAAAGCCGAATTATCTTTTAAAACATTAATAGCTGAGTACAAGCAGTTGTGCAAGGCGTGGCATCAATATTTCCGACTTGGTGGATTATCATACATAAAACACAATTATCACTATATACATATTGAGATCCTAAGCATCATGCACAAAAGCAATTATTCCTTTTTAAAAAATTATTATTAATGATATTCTTACATTACAACAACAACAACAATAAAGCCTAAATCCTACTATGTGGGGTCGGCTACACGAATCATTTTTCTCCATTGCTTCCTATTTAGTGTCATATTTTCATTTAGTTCTAATATATTAAGATCCTTTGTTATACAATAAGCCCAAGTCTTCCTAGGTCCACCTCTGCCTTTCTTAATATAAATCAAATCTAAAACATCTACTCCTAATCGGATCATCAGATGGTCGACGTTTAATTTGACCAAATCATCTAAAATGACTCTCTCTAATTTTGTCTGTCACTGGAGCTACATCAAATCTATCACAGATATATTCATTTCACATTTTGTCTCTAAGTGCAAAGCCACTCATCCACCTAATCATTCTCATCTTGGATATATTTATTTTGCATTTTGTCTCTAATGATATTATTACATGATGCTAAAAATTTAATCGTGAGATAAATAAGGGGCATTTCCACACATACCACTCAAATCCTATGTACGTATATATCTAAAACCTAAACTTGACCTATACCATTTGTACTGCCCAAATCCTTCATATTACATCAAAGACATCACAGTTTTCATTTTTAAAAATTGAAATAAACTTTTCATGCATATGTAAGATGTCATATATGTAAAACATGTGTAAATTCATGAGAATCAAGCGGTATGTATGTAAATCTTCCAAAAAGCAAGTTTTCATGTAAAAGAACTAGGAAGAAAAGAATGAATCAATGCTGTTAAATAAAATAAAAATTCAAGATAAGGGAAGACACCGATAGAAGTATTGCAGTCTCTGCACCCTGAAAATCTCTGAAGGTGACATAAGCAACTCTAGACCACTCATCAACACTGGAAAACAAAAAAATAAATTGAAAACTTGAAACAATAACAACAACAAAACCTTTATCTGAAAATTAAATAAAACTACAGTCATCATTAATAACCAAGGCATTTACATACATACCAACCAATTCATATGTATTTACACATCAAACACCTAGACTTTATTTCTTAAATTTATAACAACCAAATCTTTCATATCACATCAAAAATATCGCTATTTTAATATTTGAAAAGTGAAAAACACCTTTTCATGCATAGATAAATGTATGTAAAAATTGACGTTTAGATGCTAGGCATCTAAATACATAGGGTTGGCTAGTATGTATCTAAATCTTCCACAAAAATACCTCTTCAGTTCAACATGATCAATATCTCCAGAGAAGGAAAAGAACTCTTTAATGTCTTGCTCAGTTGCACTATGGGAAACATTGCTCACTTTTACAGTCCTTACCTGCATTATGAATTGCTTAGAATAATGGATGTATTTTCCTAAAAGAAAGAGCCAATCCTAACAAAAAACTGATTAATTGATAGAAAGTTCTAGAAGAGATAAGAAAGTAAGAACATATACTATCAAACTGATGATAAATAGCAGCAAAAAAAAAAAAAGGAATCTCTGTGAAAAATTTAGGGGGCATTTGCATATATTCGTCCCAATTCCTATGTATTTACATATCTAACATCTAAACCTTACTTTTTATAATTCTACCACCCAAATCTTTCATATCACGTCGATGATCCATTATTTTAACTTATAAAAAGTGAACTACATCTTGTCGTTAGAATGAAATACATCTTTTCATGCACGGGTAAACATATATGTAAAAATTGAAGTTTAGGTGTTAGATATGTAAATACATAGGAATTGAGTGATTCATATCTAAATCTTCCAAAAATTATTTATGTGAAACATTAATAGGTCATCCTAACATAGAAATTGTAACACAAAAAGTAGGTCTAACATAGTGGTTTAATCAAGATAGCATTTCTATTTGAGCAAATGATTAAACCTACACGGTTACACCACAAACTTGTTAGAAAATTCATGTTTCAACTTTATACACAAATTACAAAAGAAAAGTACATAATAGCCAAGATCTTTTAAATTCATGATTTTTACATATGTAAAAATAAAGCGACGCATACCTGTATTCTTGATGAACAAATTTGATCATGAAGAGATGGAGTTTCTCTCTCTAATCCCTTAAAACTTTCTGTACTTTCTGATGGAGAGAAATGTACGAGGTGTGTTGGGTAGAGAGAGGACCCATTCTCAAATTCATGCTCTATTTATCCACCATCCATCAAGGGGGTTACTAACCAATAGGATTTATGATAATTTAATAAATTAATTGATTTTTATTAATAAAATCAATGACATAAGTTAGTAACATTTATTTATTTTAGGGGTTATAGAGTTACAAAAATAAATATCATAAGTTATCATAAATTATGACATAAGTTATGAGTTAAGAAAATAAATAACTTAAGTTATCAAAATAAATATCATAAGTTGTCATAATTTATGACATAAGTTATGAGTTATGAAAATTAATAACTTAAGTTATCAAAAATAAATCTCATAAGTTATTAAAATAAATGTGAGTCATAAATAAAAATATAACATTCTCCCACTTGGCTCACTTAATTTTAATAGTGCATTACATACTACAAGATAAATCCTTCTTTATATTGGTTAAATCATAAATTATTTAATAAGTATGAAATTAATATGAATCATGGCGGTTGTGCATCAATTTATCGACACAGTCCCTTCCATGTATCACGGTATCAATTACATACTTAGCATAATGAGAATTAACATCATGGTCTCATAATGTCTATTAAAAGACAAATCTTGTTGAAACATCATGCAACATAAAGTGTACACTAACGATAAAAACAAGATTTATAAATATCAGAAACAAGAAAAATTGGGCCCAAAATGTCAAAATACAAAGAGCATAAAACTAATAAAGGGTTTTGGTAATGCCCATTCTCACGACATGTTCGTTAAATGTCTTCGGTGACAATCCTTTTGTCAAAGGATCTGCAATCATGAGATTGGTGCTAATATGCTCAATTGACACCCTATGTTTCTGAACTTCTTCCTTAACAAGAAGATATTTTAATTCCATATGATTAGCACCTTTGGAATACTTGTCGTTTTTGGAAAAGAAGACTGCCGCGGAGTTATCACAATAAATTTTCAACGGCTTGGCAATACTGTCGACAATTCCAAGTCCTGAAATAAAATTCCGCAGCCATAAACCCTGAATTGTAGCTTCGAAGTAAGCCACAAATTCAGCTTTCATAGTGGAAGCAGCTGTGATAGTCTGCTTCGCACTTTTCCATGAGATTGCTCCTTCAGCCAAAAGGAACAAATAGCCAAATGTTGATTTTCTGGTATCAACACATCCAGCAAAATCTGAATCTGAATATCCTATCACTTCAAGATCTTTAGATCTTCTATAAGTGAGCATGTGGTCCTTTGTTCCTTGTAGATACCTCAAAACTTTCTTTGCAGCTTTCCAATGATCTATTTCTGGATTACTTTGATACCTGCCCAGCATCCCGACAACAAAACTAATGTCTGGTCTGGTACAAGTTTGAGCATACATTAAGCTTCCAACAATAGATGCATAAGGAATTTCTTCCATTTGTTTATGTTCCAAATCATTCTTTGGACACTGCATAAGACTGAATTTATCTCCTTTCTGAATTGGAGCAACACTTGCTGAGCAACCTTCCATATTGAATCTCTTAAGAACACTTTCGATATATGTTTTCTGAGTTAGCCCTAACAATCCTTGTGATCTATCACGAAATATTTCAATTCCAATCACATAGGATGCCTCACTCATATCTTTCATCTCAAAGTTCTTAGAGAGAAAATTCTTGGTTTCATATAATAAGCCAAGATCATTAGTAGCCAACAAGATGTCATCAACATACAGAATAAGAAATATAATTTTGCTCCCACTGACCTTTAGATATATACACCGATCAACAACATTTTCCTTAAATCCAAAGGACGTGATAATATCATTAAACTTAAGATACCATTATCGGGAAGCTTGCTTAAGTCCGTATATTGATTTCTTAAGTTTACACACCATGTGTTCCTTTCCTTCAACCAAAAATCCTTCAGGTTGATTCATGTAGACCTCTTCATCTAAATTCCCATTCAGAAAGGCAGTTTTCACATCCATTTGGTGTAACTCCAAATCATAATGAGCTACTAGTGCCATGATAATTCTAAATGAATCTTTCTTAGAAACCAGAGAAAATGTTTCTTTATAGTCGATGCCATCTTTTTGAGTGAAACCTTTGGCAACAAGTCTGGATTTATATCGTTCAATATTGCCATTCGAATCGCGCTTAGTCTTAAAGACCCATTTACACCCGACTCTTCTACAACCTTCAGGCAATTCAACGATATCCCAGACTTTGTTGTGATCCATCGATTTCAACTCATCTTTCATTGCATCTAACCATTTAGAAGAATTTGCACTTTTTATG